ACTGTTTGGGTTTCACTTGGGTTATGGGTTATGAGCTTTAGATATTTCGGTCTAAACATTAGATTAGTTCCTAATACAGAGGTGCCCACACCAATACCAGAATACTCATTACAAATTATCTATTACTAGAAAATTATTTGATATAAAACTAATACAGAACTTTTAAACTTAATAATATTAATGATTAGGTTTTAATAATCATTATGGAAACTATTATACAACTACCTGTAATGTTTTCTGAAAATTATAAGGAAATGAAAGGTGGTCAGGGGGTCATCTCTACTAAATGTGAGCCCTATCTAATTATTATGAGTGTTGGGCTCACTATTTATGACAGAATTGTGTACTTATTCAGGCGATTGTATACAATGCCTGCAAAATAGTGTTGATTGCAATAGATTTGTATCCTTTAATTCATGTGATATAACCGTTGCCTAAATCCAGTGTTTGATGTCTGGCGACCACTGTATGTGTTTGGCTCAACTCAATCCACGTAATATCATAATAGAGGCCAGGGATGCCTGACTGGAGATTACTATAGCCCAGAACAGTGTGTATATGTGTTTACAGTGCTGTACAATATGAGGAGTTTATTGAAGAATAAATAGCAAAAAATAAAATATCAATAGAAATACAAATAAAAGAAGAGACTCATAGAGAATGGACTTTCAGTGCGGCTCATAAGCTATTGCAACATATTTGATGTGATATATAATATAATATAATATAATATAATATTAACGCGTGAATAGATTTGGCTTATTCTTAGTATATTTGCTTTTATTGGTTCACATCCACAGCACATACACATCACATACACATCACATACACATCACATCCGCATTTGCTTTATTACAATAACAAATGCATTACAATAGAAGGCTGTCAGCCTCTAAAGTTGGTCCATATCGTGCTATTATCCCCATTCCTATTATACTTTTTATGTGAAGGGCCCCCCATATATATAAGCATCCATAGAGTTGCGTTTAGCACCACCACTACAAACAGCCCATACAAGTATGTGTTCCCAAACTGTATACCCATTGCATAGAATATTGGACCCTTTGAATGGATGCGAGTGTAGAGAAGTGCCAATTCTGCCAATTCTACCAATTCTTTCCACTTCTCTATTGTAATACCACTTTCAATGCCATTGAATATAACGCTTCACTATTAGACTTATTATACTGTATTTGAATTCAGTAAGTGTAGAGAAGTGCCAATTCTGCCAATTCTACCAATTCTTTCCACTTCTCTATTGTAATACCACTTTCAATGCCATTGAATATAACGCTTCACTATTAGACTTATTATACTGTATTTGAATTCAGTTTTTTACTATTATATTCACTGATAGGCTCTCTATTCTTATGAACACATCGAGGATTTGAGTTGAAATGTTAACCGTTTATTACAATATTTTCCCAATAATTACCGCTTAGATAACAATCGCTATTCACATACAATATTGTGTTTTATGTTTTATGTAATATAATATGAATAATGTATTGTTTATTACATAAAAGCCCATTTAATTCGTTTATAAATAATAATAAAATTTAAATCTTTGACCGACAATAACATTATTCTGTGTATTATTCTGATGGCATTATAGCTATGAACTAAAAGCATAGTTAGAGTTATTTTATGAGTTTTGTTTGTATGTATTTTGTGTGCATGGTGCAATTGCTTGAATGACTTATTTGCTTCTTTGTGTTGGATCGCAATTTTCAATTCAATTTATGCCTTTCCATAGATGCCTTTCCATAGATGCCTCGCATGCATGAAGTAGTCTTATTGAATGCACAGTATGTCTGAATGTTTGTAAAAGATTTTAAATGTCTGTCACTGCGAGTACAGCCATTAATCTAGTTTTGCAATACAATGCCTTTCCATAGATGCCTCGCATGCATGAAGTAGTCTTATTGAATGCACAGTATGTCTGAATGTTTGTAAAAGATTTTAAATGTCTGTCACTGCGAGTACAGCCATTAATCTAGTTTTGCAATACCAGTCATTTCTGGCTTTATTCGTGCCTTAAGTCATGCACTCTTATAAAAGGCAAAAGTATTATAAAAGTATTGTATAATAATGTATATAATGTTTATATAAATATTTGTGCGAAAAGATGAACACATAGAGCATTGAATAGCATTGAAATAGCATTGAATGCTTGTATTGGACGCAAGCATTCAATTGAAAAGATGTATTAAAAACACTTAATTCCATAATAAAGCGAACAAACAATAGATTTGAATCGTTTTTCAAGTGTATTCAAACTTATCAAACAATAACTTACAATCATTGAGCTATTAATGCTTCATATAATCTTAATCTCTGTCTTAAGTGTCGGCGCTTTAGTCCTTTGTCTTATAATATTGCCTTCAATTCATTGTAAAGAATTGCCGAACAAAACAATACATATTTTATTGTTATTCAAGTGTTTTCTTGATAAGCAGTCGTTGATAAAGCTATTAATGGGAACCGACCATCACTTTGCTATTACTTTGCTATTCATATCACATTAGGTCTCATTTGATGAGTAGAAGCGACACACAAACGAACTTAAGACCCGAACCACAAGTGAATGTCTTTAGACCTAACAGTAGCCGCAATCAGACCTATCAGTCCTCGAGTCTAGATATCATTGAATTGATTAATAAAACAATGCATTTGAATAGAAATAAGTGATTCTCTCGTCTGCTACTCATTCCTAACAAATCTAATGCCAAACAAATGGTTCACTAATTTTCCTGATAATCAGTTTCCAATCCATTCTTTTCTCCTTATTTTTTCGTCAAAACTTTCTTTCGATAATAGTTTTCACATTCAATAAGAAGTTCTTATCGACTCTTCTAATGACTTGTATTTTAGTGTTTTGTCAAATCATTTACTATTCATTATATATTGAGATATGATTTTGATTTGATTTGATTTGAGCACAATTTGTCACATGAGCATCGACTCCAATAGTGACCCATTAGACCATTGTATGGCTAACAAGAGTTGACAAAAGCCTACATCACATCACATAACAGTGTCGTGACTGTTAGCTGTTGTGATGGTTGTGCTGTTACGCACCTGCATGTTATGGCACAGGGAATGCCTACAATAGATCACTAATCACACCTAACATGCATTGCTTGAATGCGTTCAATGAAATCAACACAATAGCCGTTAATTTAGTTTTATTTTCTCTCTCTTTTCCATTTACTATAACTCAACATAAGAGCCAACAAAACACAACACAAACTAAACAATAACTGAAACCAAAAACAAATTCAATGACAAAACAAGAGAAGAAAACAACACAAAAAATAAGTGAATGAATGAATTGAATGAAAACTAAATAAGTTTTGTAAAATTAAGGTTTTCGTGGGCCATATAATAGTGTGGTTAGTGTTGCAGTGATACCAGTGATGCAGTGATAAAGGCCTGGGAGTGAGGGTATACTATATACCCGGTATAGTGTACTCTACTTTCACTCCACAATCACAAGTGACAGTAGGAGTGAAAGTGTTTGTCACCATTGAATTAAAGGCTCATTAAGCACACAATTGTCTCGTCGTTTAGCACTAATTCAATGCTAACTCATCTCTATTTTCATGGCTTTTATGCAATGATTACTTGTTTTTGGTTTTAATATTACATAATAATGTCATATAAAGCCATTTCCCCTTAATTTAGTCAAATCTTGTCAATTGAAGCTCTCATTCATTTGCAGGCATTTGTTGTGTGAAAGCGAAAAACAGAGGAAAAGAAAATTTCCATTTATGTGTTGACAAACTAAATAAAAGTGGGAATAAAGGGAATGGTATGCACTGCGAGAGTGAGACTATACTGATAACGGCTTTTGTATGACATTAGATATCTATTGGAATACATGTTATTCTTTTATTATGAAATGTTTTACAATTGCCGTCATTTGGTGTTTACTTTTGCTCGAAAACTTAGTGATAATAATAAGAAATAAGAAACGAATGGTTATCTCGATAACAAAGACACTCACAATTGCCATACATTCTCACTGTTTATATTTCCAAAGCTTTTCTATTCACTAATAATATTAATAAAAATTCTTTATAATTTGCTAACAATAAATTCTACCCAAATATATATGCTATTATTTGAGATTTTTTTAATTTAATTTTTTCTGTATGTATAATATATTGCATAATATAATACAATTGACAGAATATTTACTGTCGTGTTATAAGCAGTTCCCATAAAGTGATACAAACGATAAACTCTTATATTCACACAATTGTATGCATTTCTGTGGAAATGATATATAATAATAAACTCCAATTGAAAAACGTTTTTAATGAAAAGCGATCTAATTTTTATTTCTCTTTTTTGTCATATTTTCTATTATATTGTTATACATATAATAAGAGGAACTTTACAGCAAATGTTGATTTTTCATTCTTTACATTACATTTTCATTTCAAAGACATATGTATTTTCATCAGTTATGGCACAAAACAAATTAAATGCAGAGAAAATCGCTTTCAAACTCTCCATTACAATGGTTTGGATAGAAATTCTTTATTCAGAAATACTTTTACTATTTATTGTTCAATAATGTAATAACTGTTTGAATTTACAACAAATACAATAAATTACAACTTTCTCTCTATTTAACTCTCTTTTTGTTCACTCTATCACTAGAAAAATGAACTTAAAATTGTTTTGGGATTTTATAAAATTATAGATTAATATACTGTATATATAATTATGAAGACATTCTCCTCACCGGTCATACAAAATGATATAAATTCTGTCAAATTATCTCAATTTGATTTCTCAAGATTTGATTAGTTTTATAATATATTTAGATATTAATCTACAATCAGAGAAACTATTAATTTAATAAGAAAAATGAGTGACAAAATTGTGAGTAATTAATATTTATGTTTATAATAGTTATGCGAATGCGTCTCATTTGGCACTCATTTGTATTTAAATTATTATCTAATTATGAATTATAAATGCAAAGTATGACAATTGAAAGCATATTATTATTAATATGACATGAAATGCATTCTCAATAGAGAGTCTGTTCTCATGGTTTGTCTCATAGAGTATGTCTCATATGATGTATGTCTTGCACTGTATTCTGTACTCAACTAAACAAATATGAATATACAGTATATATGAGAATAACGGTTAGAGAGAGCGTAGACCTACAGCACAAACAGTACAGCACTACAGAGTACTCGTGACATACGGTTTGTCAGAAGAGTATAATAAATGAATTGAAACTTAATTTGCTTTTGGGATCAACTGTTGTACTAAACAATGGGAGGCGGAGAGAGTTTTGTCAGACTTGACATCCGGTCGTCCATTTTAGGCAGACCTGACATGAGATATGCGGCGGCGAACGGATTGTTCCGTAAGTCAGCACTGAATTGAGGATTTGTTGCCGAATGTGAAGAGACTGGCGGTAAGTGATAGCCCGGAGCCGGCAGATAAGCACTCTGATGGAGGTTATACTGGTGGGGGTGTGTGGGCTGTGTGTGGCTCAGATGGGAATGGGCTGACAGTGAGGACAGTAGTGATGAGGCGGCGGATGACGAGTAAAGGGATGGACTGAAACAAAAGTTGCCGAACGCGTCGTTATTGACTTTGAGAGCGCCGGGAGTTAAGGAATCGTTCCTCATCTTAACGGCGTTGACCATCGCATTCAGATGACCTCCCGGTGCGTACAGCGGCGGTACGCTTAATGGGTAGGAGCGGGCGGTGGCGGCCTTTTCACTCTCGAGTGCCATCCCGGCCATAGTCACCGGCACATCACTGGTCGGTGATGTGAAAGCTGTGAATCGGCCCAACGGGTCAAAGGGTGAGCCCATAGACGGACTCATATAAGCCGGCGCTGACCCTAAATAGCCGTTGTCTTTCTTGACCATAGGCTTTGGCTTACGTCTGGGCCGGTACTTATAGTCTGGATGCTCTGCACCGGTAGTGGGAAGAGTAGGTAAATATAAATACAGTTATTTAGCACGAATTGACTGCTTGTCTCAAACATTATTCACAAAAAAGTGGTTTAAAACTAAGAATTAGATTCAGAAATGAATGAATCTGTGAGTGAGAAGGGGTTCTCTAATAAGGTGTTTCACTCGAGACAGAGTGGGAACGACACTAATTGTATGCTTTCATGTTTGCCTACCTTTCATGTGAAGGGCTCGCAGTCTCTTCGCCTCATCAATGAAGGGTCTCTTCTCGGCCTCAGTCAACAGCTTCCAGTCCTGACCCAAACGCTTACTGATCTCCGAGTTATGCATTTTTGGGTTCTCCTGAGCCATCTTCCGGCGCTGTCCTCTCGACCATACCTTTTATTTGCACACATTTTTCCATATTATGTATATTGTTGTCAATATTTTTATCAATATTCTCTAATTCTCGTCTTTTTCAGAGATTACAAACTCATATATAATACTACTTATGATTCAAATGTTTGGTCACATGAACACAGTGTCTCATAATTGTTGTTTCAAAGCACTTATTCTTAGGACTTATACTTTTAAATGCTTTCCAACTATTTCGTAAACTAATTGATAAGTTTGTGATACATTGTATTTGAGTTCAAAATACAATATCATAAACACTCAAAATCTCAGTAAATATTAGTTAATAATTAAGAAACAAATATTTGAATGAAAATTGTGTTGTGATATACTGACCATAAAAGCATTCATCGGTCTCTTGACGTGATCATTGCTTTTGGACATAATCGCAGTCATCGTCATGTTTGCCCACAATCTGTACGTTTAGCAAACTTTTGACACAAAATATTGTAAATCCAATGAATTGTTGATAATTGCAACACAATGTGAAACAAACAGTGAATTTGAAGCCACGAACTAATATTTCATTGAATTCAATGAATACGAGCGATGAGTACTTCAAGTGATGAAGTGATTGAAGTCTCAAACTGTCTAACTGTGAGCCAACACAAGCACTGTATGAGTGTATGAGAGCTCACACACAGCTTCTGGTGTTATAAGTGATGAGAGGGCGGACCCACTCATCCCTCCCTCCCATCTCTGCATTCATTGGTGTTTCGTTTGCAACGATGTCTGCGATTGGCTGTTGGCTGAAGACGTTGAATGCGTGCAGAACTTGCAGTGAATGGAGTGTAGGGAGAGTTAGGTTGTCATCAGTGATGTGTTGCTTGAAAACAGTGCTTAGTATTGGAGTGTTGGGTGAGTAGAGAGGCCTGGGATGTGATTTGCATTTGTGTATCAATGTATAAATAAATGCATTTTCTTTGGTGTTTGCTTTCAATTCTTTATTATTTTAAATGAAAGGCATTTGTGTTGAGAGGGAGAGGGCAGTGATGGCACGACAGGCTGTATGAGTGTACCTACATATGGCTGAATGTATGGTATATGTGCCGTATGTATGGTTGTGGACAATGGTGGCTGTATTGAGCACTTGTCAAACAGATGTATTGCAAGTTTAAAGCCAAACAATAGCCGTTCAGACATTAGAAATGATAAGAAGGCTGAAACCAAAAGCTCTTTTAGGATCTAATAGTGTCCCTCTCTGGCAGGCATTGTATGGTAGGGGCAGGTATTGTGCCAAACAATGATAGGCTGTAAGGATCGGGTCGTTTTGGTCGATCCATCTTTTATGGGAAAAATAGAGGATTGAATGCATTGAAAGGAAAATGTATTGTTATTTAGTTTCGTAAATACAATATCTTTAGTCGTGACAAATGACGTACAAAAATGCCGGAAAGAGGACTTCTCAGCACTTTTCTCATTCAAATATCACTGTTCCTACTGTTCCTCACAACCTACTGTTCCTCTACAACATAACACTGTAATACTGTAATGCAATTTAACATAACAATCCCCGTTAATAAAGTGCACCGACTCTACCATATATACCCGACTCCACTGCCTTTTGTCACTAAACCTAAAGAATTGATAGTATTTTTCAATAAGAAAACTGCAAACCATTGATATATTCTGTATTATAATACAGAATAAAATGCGAGCGAAACACCAGAAACACCAAAATTCTGGCTTTTATTCCCTCTTTATATCAAACACTGTATTATAATATTTCGTTCAAAATCTTGTCTAACAGTAAAAGGCATTCAATTTTTAGTCACTCTTTCATTGCTATCGTTGTGTTGCAGAACATTCAGAGCCGACTAAGTCTGCGATTATTTAAAACCTGATCCCATGTTATGCCCGAAACAGCTAACTGTGCCCAACAGCCAGCCCAACAATCGCTGATAGTTTGCTTCCCAGTAATACTCTTATGACATTCACTCAAACACTACTCTAAGGATAAGAGTTATTACTTTTTCTCTTCTCAAATAAATCTTTTGAATGCTATTTAAGAATTGAATGATAATAATAATAATAATAATAATAATAATAATAATATTCAAAATTTTAGTTTCAATACTTATTCTTATTTCCTTTAAAAAGTGACTAAAAAGAGATGAATTCATATTTTACTTATTCATCTGTTTGTTTAAATGTAAAATTCTTTATATAAAAGGAATACACAGGAGCTTGCAGTTTTTAAGACATCATTGGAAAATATTGATTTATATAGTGTATATAACTTATTATTAAAAAGTATGTGTTTAAAAACAGATTCATATGTGTGCATTTAGAAAAATTTATAATCAAATAAATTGTATTATATATTTTTGAAGCGAGATAAAAATTATTTTATTAATGTGTATTAGTGATATGCAGCATTGAGTTGTTTGGTGATCCCCTAATATAATATAAAAGTCAATTTTATTATATAAGATGAGAGACTGAATGTATGAATGGTGTGAATGTGGATTGAGTTGATATATTGTTTAGTCGATTGTGTGGATTGTGTGCACACTATAGAGGCTTTAGAGTAGAAAAGAGGTGTTTTGCGCTCCACAGAGCTTAGAGTGTGTGTTAGCCTGTTATCTGTGGTCTCCCAATACTCCCAATACTCGCAAACGCTTTATGTACGGATGATCTGCTCACTACTCTAACCCACAATACAGTGTCTCTCATACACTGTGTTAGCACTGGATTTCCAATTGGAGATAACGTTATGTTCAATGCTTTTCTAATATAAGAGAAAGTCATTGAATGAGAAAAGAGGATCACTTTATAGAGTAAAGAATAGGCGGGCGGGCGGGCCGTCCACTACATTCATACAAACTATTATATGCATTGCATAGTTGTCTGTATGACTATATACGACTGTATGGGCCCAACAAATACAGTGAGCTATGAAGCACTGGATAGACATACAATACACTAATACATTGTTTGCGGTTTCCTTTTGTTGCAATCGCTTAGAAAGTAAAGTAAAGTTAAGGCAATAAAAGCCATTTCTTTGCTATACTCTATGGCACTGTTAGTTGTGTCAGTGCTTTCATTGACACCTTTCCATTCATAGCACACATAGCCATACAAAACATACTATTTTCTCGATCACAACCGCTTTCATTGTTCTATTTGTGCATTTGATGCCATCCCCACACACCACACACACCACCACAACAGCCTGTCCTCCACCACTACATATACAGAGAATACACATCATATGTATTATGTTTATAAAAATAAACCCTGATATAAAATGTTGACAAAAAATGTTTGTGAAGTGCAATGCAATGCACACCCAATTCATGTTTCAAACCATTATTGTATTGAAATTAAGAGAATAGGAGATGATAGTTGTGTCAGTGCTTTCATTGACACCTTTCCATTCATAGCACACATAGCCATACAAAACATACTATTTTCTCGATCACAACCGCTTTCATTGTTCTATTTGTGCATTTGATGCCATCCCCACACATCCCCACACACCACACACACCACCACAACAGCCTGTCCTCCACCACAACAGCCTGTCCTCCACCACTACATATACAGAGAATACACATCATATTATTATGTTTATAAAAATAAACCCTGATATAAAATGTTGACAAAAAATGTTTGTGAAGTGCAATGCAATGCACACCCAATTCATGTTTCAAACCATTATTGTATTGAAATTAAGAGAATAGGAGATGCGATGGGTTGTGATCGACACAAACATTTAGTTTTATATGTTATGTAAGTCTTTGCAAATGAATTGATAAAACATTGTAAGGGATGCGGAGATAAGACACGAGATCTACACCAATGTTGAGACATCTTTGGTGGCGACTATACACTCAAAACCCATACTTTGTTATAATATTATATTGAATTGAATAGAATGGAGAGAAAATGCAATTACTTTGTATTGCTTATAGTGTATTGTATTAACAAAACACACGTTTCTTAATATTATACAATATATTGTACTAATGAATGGTTTGATGCAATGTTTATCTGTTGTTCACAATTCCTATTCATTCATTCATTCATTCATTGGTTCATTCATTCATTGATTCATTTGTTCATTGAAGCGAACAATTGCTTTTTTGAGGCAAACTTATGATAAGACGAGAATTTAAAGCAAATTCTTGACGTCTATTCCTATAATAAATTCAAAGTAAAGTGCATTTTGTGGTAAATAAAGAAAAACTGATGGCATCTATGGATGTATGCATTTGTGATGTGGTTTCTCAATATTAAAGAGTCAGTGAATAAGTGATAGAAATGCCTCAACCAAACCAAACCATACATACAGTGCTTATATAATATTTGGTCTATAGATCGGTCGTATATAACGCTATGTCTTAATCCTCTTATAGCGGGTATTCATTACTCTTATGGCCAACATATCGTATACTCATATATAAAATACAGTACTATTAACGATGATTGGGTGCTATTGGCTGTTGAGGACAGACACCAATAAACTTATAATTTGATGGTCAATATAAATGAAGTGAAGCCAAGATTGAACTGTTGGTGCGATCGATATATTTGACACACAATTCAGTGCAATTGCGTCCTTCTCTCTCCCTTTCCACTAATATAATAGTGCTTTGGGTCACAACCTCTCATACAAACCATTCATTTCACTCCGAATACCCTACTCTTCATTGCATTTCTATACACAATAATAGTTTTCAATATTATTCGTTGCCATAACTTATGATTACATTATACTAACCACCAGAATATCCTAATTCCTATGATTTCATCAACTTTATTAATTATGAAACTATATTTTCTCAAACACTCCAATGAATTCATTGTTTTGAAGTCAACCAATAATGCGAGTGATGTTTGCGATCAAAAGATTTGTGGCAATTGGTAGTGAGAGAGAGAGAGAGAGAGAGAGAGAGAGAGCACTGGGAATTGGCTGACAATCGTATTTATTATACATTTGCAATAAATAGAAAGCACTCAATCAGTAGTGTTGATGTGTCCCAACACTAACTTATTGTCACTTAACTTCAATTGCAATCAATACGTCTCTATAATATAAGTCATTCAATCATATGTTTATATCGCTTTTAATTCAAACGTTATATTAATTTTTTCTTTTGTTAACATAAAACCTTTTTCCATAAATAATATATTTTATTAAACGATAAGACATTGAAGTTATTTTCAATAATAAGATATTTATTTATTTTATTTATTCATATAAACGCTTAGAAGAGATAACCAAATATTAGAGAAATGTATTTTATTAGACGTGTATTGAATTGATTGTAATCATTAGTGTTTGCCATTCACTTAACTTTTTGATAAAATTTTATTTCAAAGAATTATTATGAAAACAAACTTTAAAAATCCGTAATGTTAAATTAAATTTATTAAAATAAAATTATAAATACAAATTTTAAATCATAAATTTTATTTTAAAAGTAAATTTAATATGATATGTCACTCAAAATTTTCTTAATGTGATCTAGAATAATCAAAATTTTAAAATATTTGTCATTACATTTTCTTATTAGATTATAAATTAAATTTTATAACTTATAAATTATCATTCAATTTACAATAATACATAAAGTTTAATAAATAAAGTACTAAATTGTTTAAATACAATATTTAGAAAATTTAGTACAACAAAGTTTATTTAATTGAACACAAAGTCAAGTACTATTTCATTAATTCCTATAAAGGGATTGATTTCAAATTAAATTTACATAATTTTTATTTTAAGAGCTATCTAAATTTATTGAAATACTATCATTATTTATCGGGACAACCATTTACTGTATGACTGAAACAAATTGAAATTCAAGGAATAAAAGATTCATTTGAGTTCTCATAGCATTATAAATGAGATCAATCACTCATTTTGTATTATATTTGCAAATTAATACGAGTTGATCGCCTGATCCACAGCTGAGGGCATTATTTTCAGGATATTATCGCAATGGGTGTGCATATTATCGATTATTTTATTTTTAATTGTTTGACATATAAATTCTTTGTTTTTCCTGGCTTCATTTAATTATCGGTTTTGTATTTCTGTAAATAAATGAAATACATTTATTACAATTTTATTATTAGTAATGATAATAAACATATAGATTAAACATTAATACTTTATAACATAATAATTTGAAAATTAAGATTTTAATTATAAAATTCAAAATAATATCTTAATAAAATAAATGTTTAAAACCGTGAAATATGTAAAATAATTTTTATAATATTTTATTAATTTAAATAACAAAATATTTTTAAATGCTTAGTATTTACTAAATTAATAAAAGTTAATTATTTAACTATGTATAAAACTCAACAAATTTAATTGACTTTATATTGTAATAAAAGTGTGAATTTGTTGAGATGTAAATATTTTTAGTTCATTGAACACGAGTTTAATTATATGAAAGCGAGACATTTGAATGGATGAGAAATCTGAATGAAATGACAATATGATTGAGAAGAGTGTGTAAATCAAAGGGAATTTGTTTGATCTGAAGATGAGAAGCAATGATGGAATGGATGGCAATGACGGCAATGATAGCAGCGATGGCACCGACATTAGAGTCGGTAATAATGTTTTCAACAGTTGTGTAGAGATCGGTCGGGCGTAACAGTTAATGTGGTTTTTATAAGGGCTTTATTTCGCACATAACACACAATAGTAGTGACAAAAATGAAACAAAAGTCTCTCTTTTCTTAGCCAAACATTGGGTTGAATTGAATGGTTTGAATGGTTGGGTCTCACGATATATCATATTATATTCCACCGTTCAGTTCACGGCCACAGAAGTAAATAAGCTTTTTATACATAAATCTAATGACAATATGAGATCACAATATTATATTGACTCCGATTCACACCTTCAGATGAGGCTTTCCATATGATGTACACTTCAATTAGGGTTAACTGAGGCGTTGATTTTGTCTTAAAATAAAAGTCAGAGTAAATGTGAAAAACAATTTCAAGCCAAGAGTTGTGTCATTTTTATTGAATTCATTTGATAGAAAAGTTAGTTTTATTTTATTTATTAATTTCTTGGAGACTATAATTTGTTGTAGAGATACACTATTATGGTGTATTGCACTGGTATTGGACTGGTATTTGATGGTATTGTGTGTGCTTTGGAGGCAATAACTCGATGTCTGCTATTGTCTGTCGTAATAATGCCAAAGCAATCGCATCGACAAACATGTCTTTGTTTTGTTATCACATATTCTCCACAAATACAATATTTGTGTCCAAAAGGATAGAAACTATACTCCACTAAACTATACGTCTCTCTGTATACTTCGTATTGAGTATTGGATACTATTATAACAGACTTGAAGGGATATCTTGAAGTTATGAATAGGATATTATTGTCGCCAAAGTCTTCCTTGCTTCAGTGCTCTGTAATAATTGTTAGTCAGCTTAGAATGCAGTGAAAGTAGTACCGGTGCTTATATGGTGTATGTGCTGTCTGTGGCAGTCGATTATTTGAACAACTTTATTAAAATTCATCCAAAGAGATCCCATGAGAGGCTTTCTCTCAGTGTACAGATCTCTATAGCAATAACTGTTGGCAATAGAGTATTGGTTTAGCCCTCCTCTCCTCTCTCTCTCTCTCTCTCTCTCTCTCTCTCTCTCGCACTCTCTGACAAAATAGCCTCAAGAAAGTGGAATAACAAAAACCGCCATCCATTTCATTGTTTGCACTCTACCAGTGCTCTACCAGTGCTCTACCAGTGCTCTGATGCACTGCCAATACACATATATACGGGTATTGGATGCAAGAGTACAATACTGTGTGTCAATCACATAGCGCTTCCACCAGTTTCTCTCTTTTTCATAACAACGGAAGTGTCGATATCGACGGATCCTAAAACTCCCGAATCTAATAGTGATAGCAATACTGAAAACATTGCCTCTTTTTGCTCTCAAAAACACATACACTTCCAATACAATGGCACATAAAGTGTGGGGAAACTGAGACTACACTATGACTTTGGTCTAAAAAATACTCCATTTCTTGCATCGGAACTGGAGTTTGCTTTTGTAGTGAAGATAAAAAATAAAGAGAAAAAACTATAGCAAAGCAAAAAACTTTTACTAGTTTGTATTATGTTTGACATTAGTCTGATATGTATGGGGCACTAATGCACCGATAATTAAGCGATTAATATATTTTTTAAACAGCTTTTTATCATAAACGCAATGCATTTGGAGTCGGATATTGAGAAAAAGTTGATTAATAATAGACTGCTTTTAATGACTAAATTCATTATTACTTCATTAGCACTGATAACGAGAGCTCGGAATATTTGCACCGAAAAATATGATTCACAAAAAATATTGACAAAAATAAAGTACCCTTTTTGTGCTATCATTTATATGTATTGCCAATACTCTCTCCTCTAATCATAAATTCTTACTTTAAAATAAAGTTTAAAATTTCAATGAATTAGATGTCAGTCACATCAGTGAACATCCATTTATGAAGTTTGTCTCCAAAAGTCTCTCTCAATTCTTTTGATCATTTTATTTATCATTTATTGCATTAAAATTTCACTTTTCTATTATATAAATAACAGTTAAAAAAGTTTTTTATACTAAAAACTTGAGATTTTTTCTTCTAAATAAGAATAGAGTAGAAAAGTATAGGAGAGAAGGGAAGGGAAGGGAAGAGAAGTAACTTTTTCTCTGAAAATTTTGTCAAAAATGAATTTTGAGTTAAAGAGAAGTATTAACAATGAGTCGAAATCGAAATATTTTAATCAGTTTATAGTCAGGACTGGAATGTTATGTAGAAGTCCTGTATTGAGTTGACGGCAATTGAAGGCAAACCTATTTTTATCATTGAATCTGTTGTTGAGATGCCTTTCACTGGTTGACAGTTTAGAGTTAAGTTGAGTTCACTTTTCATTTTGTTCATTGCATTGAGTTTAAAATAAAATTCATATTTTATTTATATAATAAAGGTCCGCTTTTTTAATAGATTCCTTGAGAATAAACTACTTGTGAATGGATTACATTTTGGAGGCGATCTTTATTCTGGTCTCAGAAAAAATATTTTGTTATAAACCTTTATATCTGACTTAGAAATATAAATAATATTTGTGAGTATAGAGTATAATATACTATATTATAAACTATAAGGACCACGACAAAGCCTTAGTTGTGAAAAATGTGAAAAATGTTTTGAGGTTCACATCTATAAGGGTTTATAATATTAGATGTATTGAAAGGCATTCTCTATCTCTGTTTTTGAATTCAATATAATATTATATAAATACAACGTTTTTCTCTCATCCACAACATTAGAGAGAAAATTATATTAGAGTTGAGAGCCATACCGATGTGGGACTTTGAAATAACACAAATCGACTACATTTTTATTTTTTCTCCATTATTACAACACTTCAAATAACTTTCAATCTTTAATAAACTGCTCACAACTGTAATGTAATTTGTATTTTCAGTGCAATTGTTTGCAATTCTCAACGCTTGCTATACTATGTGTACTGTATGTACTGTATGTCCCATGTTTTGCATACAGAATATAATAAAATATAAATTCAATTCCAAAACATGGGTTTTAACGCAAACTTTAAAAAAACATTGAGAACAACACTATCACTACTACTGTATTCATAAACAAACCATTGGTCTTATAATATGCATAATAAGTGAGTTAAGCATAAGTTGAATAACTGGTGGATTTGAATGTTTTGAAATCATCAGCAATAGAGTGAAATGAATTGAAATGAGTTTCATTGGACTTTCGTTGTGAGAGTTGGTTATGAATTGATTGGTAAGACTAACGGAGATCTAGGCTTCCGTTTGAATGTGATGTTGAATGCAATGATGCCTTTGATTTGATTGAAATAAAAAAGGAGAGAGAAGTGACACACAATAGAAGTGACTGTTTATACTGTACTTCACTCACAGCCCATAACTGATATAGAAATTTATATAAACAGTTATATGACTATTGAATTGAATGAACATTTTTTGATATTTTTATACATTTTGGTTAATATTATTTATAGATAAGGAGAATAAAGCCACAAAACGGACAGCAAAGATAAAGCCGTGTGTCATATGAGGCACAAAAATCTCAATTTTCAATTCTCTATTAACTTTTATAAAGTTAACAGTTTTTGGATGTCTGTGTGATTGGCGTAACGCCTCATTCCAAAGGGAATTGCATTCATACACAAGAATACAAAATACAAAACATAGCATAGAATGGCATAGAATAGTATAGAATAGCATAGAATAGCTAACATAGAATGCCATAGAATAGGCCACATATGAACACCACTACCAATACTACCAGTCATTGTATAACAGAATAACAGAATATATGTGTAGTTCTCTGTTATAATCTCTTTCTCTATTTGAAGTGAATGTTATTTCCTGTTATAGTCGACTAAATAATAAGCTCTTCACAAAACATGTCAAAAGAAATCTAAAAAATACAAAAACTGAAATCCAACTCTTGGTGCCTAAGGCCTGCCCGGCCTTTGTCTGTACCGTATTGTGTCCTATGATTTGAAACACGAGATGCGCTCAACTCTACACTAACTCTCAATTCATTTATTACTTATCTATTTTTGCCACATTTTATGCCTTTTTATCCTTTTCTCCAAATATTATATTATCTAATATTCAACTTTTCTTCAAATCATTTTCATTTTCTTTCATTCAAAACACAATTATTTTTGCATTCGTTTCAAACCATAGAAACTACTATTTATTTGTTGTTTATTATATAAATTCATTTCTCGTCTACGCTTTCAAACCATTAAGAGATTGTTTCTGAATTTTCTCTCATTTTTCAATTGTATGGTAAACTCTGCAGACATTAAATGAAATCGACATTTAATTTGAGTTCATTTTTGTTTATTGTGTGAAACGAATGGAAATGTTGATGAAAGTGATATTTCTTCACTTCAGTGCTTAAAATAAAT